TTTAGTGGTTTGCTTTTTATTCGTTAAGGTTATTATCTTATTTATATTGTTTGTATATAATTATAGAAAAATATTATATATATATAAATGTCCGCACCATGTATTATTTGGACTTGAAACTATTATATTTTAGAAAAATACAATTGAATTCTAAAATGGTACATCGACTAAAAATACAGTTCAACGATCACGGCAATGCCAATATTCCCGTAAGTGAATAAAGTAGAGTGTTTGGCAGACACGAAATGAGAGCAGATTCGATTTGCAAGTTGACGGCTTGATTCTCCTATTTCCGTCCAGGTTAAAAGTTCAAGAACCTCCGTGGAATAGATCTAGCGAAATATTTATTGGTTTGGATTGACATTTTGAGTAGCAAAAGTTGTAAAAGATATAAATCTTCGTTATTAGCGTGAAATGCATTTGATGAATATTAAAATTATTGAAAATTTTGCTTCTTTGAAAGAAGTAACTTAAAATGATCAATTTTCCTTTTATTGACAATACAATTTAATATACTTTTATAATAGATTTACAGTCATATTTGTGTCATATATTTTTATTTTTATTTTTTATTTTTTTTTTAAGATGATGCAGAGGTAATAATATTGAGTTTCTTACTTTACGTTTGAAATGAAAATTGGTTGAATAATTGCAACCACTTTGAGTGTATCTAAATGCCTAATTCCTAAACAAAAGAGTCATTGATTCACGACACATACGTTATAAATACGATCCAATTTAAACATGCTTCGAGAAACCTGTGTGTTAATTTATATAAAACAATTTGCACTTATGATGCAAGTTCATCGATAAATTGAATTGCTCGAGCATGCATAGCGAATGATTTTTTTAACAAGTAGTGCTCCTGTGGTTAATCTTTTGCAACAAAATTACAATTAACCTTGAATTTTCACGAAGAGAATCACAACAGATAAAAATGAGCTTATAATCACAATATAAGGATGAACATTAAGAAATATTTCTATTCTCGTGGTTTCTGTGAATTATTAATGATAAAAGAAACTACTCGTTGTATAATATATTCAAGATTCTAGAAATTCAACGGTATGAAAACACTTGAGATATTGAGGGAGTTTATTAATGAAAATGTTTGAATTACTCATAAACAAAAAAAAAATTTCCAATGACTGATGCACATGCAACTGCAATATAGTAATACTTTTACAACGGCACGCTTTCTTGCGAAAACGCTATAATGACTGAATAAGAAATATTTTGATACTTAGCGGCACGAAATGGATTGCAAATATTCCATAATCTTGTTGGACGTGCGTTAAATTATCATTTTTTTTTTCTTATACTTACTATATGAACATATTTAGAACAATAGAATATAATTCATCTTTTAAAATTATCGGTTTTCGTTTATATCGTAAAAAAAAAAGATAGCTATCGGGATTTACGTGAATGGTAAGCGTGATATTTAATAATAGTATTGAAGCCGTCGTCACCTTATTATGCACATCATTAGGAATACGTAAGCGTAAAAAATCGTGTTAAGCTAAGAAATACGAAATGATTTTTTTATGGTAATTTTAGATACGAAAAAAAGATTGATCAAAGAATTACAGATTTTTTCCACGCGATTAACAAATAATGATACTACACACAACTGAATATTTTATAAGGTGTAATCTATAGTAATTAGATAATCGTAAATGATTGATTGAAAACCACAGATCATCATTAAACGATGCATATAATTTTCGAAGCAGATTTATCGTAATTATAAGGAAAAGGAAAACGTGTGGGAATTCACGAATCACATCGCAAATAGTGACTTCTCAAGACGATGATTTCCCAATGTGATTATTTAAACAATAGATGAAGATAAGTATTCCGAAGAAATTCCCAAACTACAATTCCGACTTGCATACCGTCATAATGTCATTTACAAGAGCATCGTTGCGTCAAATCATGTCGTTTCTTGACATTAATCATATCGTTTTTAATACAAAAGTATATATACTTTTCTTTATACTTGAAACAAAACGCAATATTTCCCTAGATTTTATAATAAATTTATCCTGGTGTAATAAAAGCCAAGGATACAGTAATGTGGAGCACATTTTAATGCAGCGAAATAAAAAGAAAGACACTTTTGACACCATTACTTCATAAAAAAAAAAAAAA